ATGTTGGTCCCATCAGGTACAAGCATAAATCATGACAGTCTAGTAATTGGTACTTGTACCTTTTCTGACTAGAATGAGCTCCCATTTTTTTTTTCTGGTGGTTAGTGACGTTGAATACGCAATGATTGAGTGTCATTGGTCAGAATGAGGAAGTTCCCTTTCCTGGGAAAACCTCAGAATAGCATGTGATACATGCAGAGTTGGCCTGGGAGCCTAAGGTCATCTTAGTGTGGATGAGGTCTAGAACATGAAGGAAGGAGAGTTGCTCTCTCCTAGGAGGCCTGGGCAAAGTTGGAGGAAAGTAGGACACAAGTAATGCATCCATTAGGTTTCTGCTTGTGATGGGCAGGCTCTATGGATGTCTTGGTGATTGCCTCCTGCCATTCCATAAGACTCCTCTCTTGTGTATGACTTATCTAAGATCCATGACTGATTTCTAAGCAACCGAGTAGGGCTTCCCAACAATTACGTTATATCAAGTAAGACTCCATCTTTCTAAAATTGCTATGGCTTTGTCCTCTCGTTGGTTTGAAGAAGCTGAGGGTCACAAGTCCCATGTCTGTAAGAATAGAGACTCTGCTGCCAAGGCAAGCGGGGGGGGGGGGGGGGGGGGGCGGGGATCATTTCTGAGCCGAACTTTCGGATAAGAAGCCAGGCTTGGATGCTGTCTTTGAGTTTCTATAAAATACCATGACTGAAAAAAAAAAGCAACTTGGGGAAGAAAGGGTTTATTTCATCTTACCTGAGAAGATCATACTCCATCCCTGAGGGAAGTCAGGGCAGGAATCTGGAGGCAGGAGCCTTGGAACAGCAACTAAAGCAGAGCCATGGTGACTTGCTCCTCGTGGCTTGCTCAGCCTGCTTTCTTACGGAACCCAGGACCACCAGTCCAGGGGTGCCATTGCTCACAATAGGCTGGGGGCAGCCCACCCACATCAGTCACCAGTAAGAAAGTACAGACCTGCCTCCAGGAAAATCTTATGGAGGCCTTTTCTTAATTGAGGTTTCCTTTTCCTAATGACTCTAATTTGTGTCACATTGACATAAAACAAACAAATACAGCTGTAGGCGGAGTTTATCATCAGGACTGCCGGCCAGCTCTGTCCCATCATCCAGCTCCCAAATAATCACACTGAGACTTAATATTAATTGTAAATGCTCAGCCAGTACCAATGCGTTCGAGGCTACTTCCAACTTTCTCTTCTAACAGGTTCAGTGTAGCTGGATTTATGTTGTGGTCTTTGATCCATTTGGACTTCAGTTTTGTGCATGGGGATGGATATGAATCTCTTTGCAATCTTCTACATGTCACCATCCAGTTATACCAGCACCATTTGTTGAAGATGTTTTCTTTTTTCCATTGTGTAATTTTAGTTTCTTTGTCAAAAATCAGGTGTTCGTAGGTGTTTGGATTAATGTCAGGATCTTCAATTTGATTCCATTGATCTATGTATCTGTTTTTATGCCAATACCAAGCTGTTTTTATTACTATAGCTCTATAGTAGAGCTTGAGGTCAGGAATGATGCCTCCAGAAGTTCTTTTATTATACAGGATTGTTCTGGCTATCCTGGGTTTTTTGTTTTCTGAGAGAAATGATGAATAAATGGACCTCCTGAAACTGAGAAGCTTCTGTAAGGTAAAGACCTACTCAACAAGACAAAACAACCACCTACAGAATGGGAAAAGATCTTCACCAACCCTACATCTGGCAGAGGGCTGATCTCCAAAATATATAAAGAACTCAAGAAACTAGACATCAAAATACCAAACAATCCAATTAAAAAATGGAGTACAGAGCTAAACAGAGAATTCTCAACAGAAGAATCTCAAATGGCTGAAAGACATTTAAGGAATTGTTCAACATCCTTAGCCATCAGGGAAATGCAAATCAAAACAACTCTGAGATACCATCTTACACCTGTCAAAATGGCTAAGATAAAAAATGCTAACAACAACCTATGTTGGAGAGGATGTGGAGAAAGGAGAACACTCCTCCACTGCTAATGGGAGTGCAAACTTGTACAACCACTCTGGAAATCAGTATGGTGGTTTATCAGAAAATTGGGAATCAACCTACCGCAAGACCCAGCAATACCACTCTTGGGCATATACCCAAAGGATGCTCAATCATACCACAAGAGCACTTGCTCAACCATGTTCATAGCAGCATTATTTATAATAGCCAGAACCTGGAAGAAACCTAGATGCCCCTCAACTGAAGAATGGACAAGGAAAATGTGGTACATTTACACAATGGAGTACTACTCAGTGGTAAAAAACAATGACATCATGAAACTTGTAGGCAAATGGATGGAACTAGAAAGAATCATCCTGAGTGAGGTAACCCAGACCCCAAAAGACAAACACAGTATATACTCATTCTTAAATGGATATTAGATGCAAAGCAAAGGACAACCAGGCTACAATCCACAACCCCACAGAAGCTAGGTAAAAAGGAGGACCATAAGAGGGACACACATGGAGGGCCCCAGAAAGGGAAAATAACTAAGATCTCCTGAGTAAACTAGGGGTGGGGGGAGAGAAGAGAAGGGATGGAGGTTGTGAACAGGAGGGACTGAGATGGCCAAGTGGAGGGAGGGATGGAGAGGGAGGACAATGAAAGAGATATTTTGGTAGAGAAAACCATTGGGGGTTTAGGGAAAAATCTGGTCCTAGGGAAATCCCCAGGAATCCACAGGATGACACCAGCTAAGACTCCCAGCAATAATGGAGAGGATGCCTGAACTTGCCTTCCCCTACAATCAGATTAGTGACTACCCTAATTGCCATCATAGAACCTACATCCAGGAACTGATGGAAGCGGATGCAGAGATCCACAGCCAAGCACTGGGCTGAGATCCTAGACTTCAGCTGAAGAGAGGAAGGAGGGATCGCGGGAGCAAGTGAGGTCAAGATCATGATGGGGGAAACCACAGAGACAGCTGACCCAAGCTGGTGGGAGTTCATGGACTCTGGCCTGTCAGCTGGGGCATGTGCATGGGACTGAATGACGCCCACTGAACATGGGTGATAGTTATGTGGCTAGATATGTTTGGGGAGTCCCTAGCAGTGGGAGCAGGACTTACTCTGGTGCATGAAATGGCTTTTTGGAACACACTCCCCAGGGTGGGATACCTTGCTCAGCCTTGACACAGCGGGGAGGGGCTTGGTCCTGCCTCACCTTAGTATGCCAGACTTTGTTGACTCCCCAAGGGAGGCCTCACCTCTCTCTGAGGAGTGGGTGGAGGGTGGGATTGGGGGAGGGCAGGAAAAGGGGAGGGAAGGGGAACTGGGATTGGTATGTAAAATGAAAAAACTTAAAAGAAATAAATTTTAAAAAAGCTCAGCCAATAGCTCAGGCTTATTAGTAACTAGCTCTTACAACCTAAAGCATTTCTGTCAGTCTATGCCCCGAGGCTCAAGGCTTTTACCTCTATCCCATTGTGTGTGTCCGACTCACTCTGTGTCTGGCTAGTGACTCCTCCACCTCCACTCTTCTTCCCAGCATTCTCTCTGCCCCAAAAATCCTGTCTAGCTATCAGCCAATCAGCTCTTTATTATCCAATGAGAGTAATACATATTCATATTGTACAAAAGAGATTGTTCCATAGCACACAACTGATCTTGGCAGTGGCCATCTACAAGATTCAGGTCAACTGTCTCTGATCTGACTCACAAAACTGTGAGAACATAACTGTTTTGTTTTTTAAAATTATGTGCTTATGCATGTGCTGTGCCCCCCCCTCTGTGTGTGTGTGCACGTGCGCATGCATGTGAACATGTGAGTGCAAATGCCTGTGGAGTTAAGAAAAAGGGGGCATCAGTTCTCCTGGAGCTGGGGTCAGAGGCAGTTGTGAGTCGGCCAGTGTGGATGCTGGGAATTGAACTTGGGTCTTCTGGAAGAGCGGTGGGTTCTTAACCACTAAGTCATCTTTACAGCCCCAGTAACTATTGGTTAATCTGCCATTTAATTTTTGCTGTGTTGCATATAAAATGTGCATGGTCTTATATAATCTTAACTGTGGAACTGGTGTTCAGATGTTCACCCAGAAATCAACTGAAAGGAAGTGTCATCTGCTACAATACTGACTATGACTTATCCCCTCCCCTCCGCCCCATTGGCATGTCCAAAGCAAGAAGAAAGAACAAAATGAAGTCATATTCTTATTGTCAAGCCTAATCATTTGCATGCTTCAATTATTAACCAGGACATTTTTATTTAAAGGAAATAAAAATGTGATTATACTCCCTCAGGTGGTCAAATAACTGTATTTGAGTCTCTGGTCTATGTGATAGGCACTGTTTGCTTAGTGTATCTCCTCCCCTTTCTTGATTCCCATAGCTTCTAGGTGAGTGGAACAGACTTGCATGCCCACAATGTTGGCTTAGCCACATGATCTGCTTTGACCAATGGAAAATGGCCAAGAGTTTGGAAATTATTTTTCCTTTTAATTGTGTGTGTGTGTGTGTGTGTGTGTGTGTGTGTGTGTGTGTGTGTGTGTGTAAGCCAGCAAGCCTCCCCCTACCCCCAGGATCTACCTGTGTCTGCTCTCCCAGTGCTGGGGTTACAGGCACCATGCCTCTACTTTGGCTTTTATGCGAGTGTCAGGAATCAACTCAGGTCATGATGATCCAAACCAACAGCATCGGTCAACATCCCAATAGGCAGCACTAACTAGACTCGGTGGATTATAAAAAAGAAAAGAAGAAAGCATGAAGGGGAGGGGAAACTGTTGGAGGTCCCTGGGAGGAATTGGGGTAGAGATCATCAAAATGCATTGTTTATATGTATGAAATTGTCAAATAGTAATTAAAAGATATTCCATTTTAAAAAAGAATTCTTATTATATATAATTTAATCTATTTTTTCCAGTCTTATTTGAACATGGAATCTCCCCTATGTCCCATTCCCCACTTCTTTCAAAGCACCAATTTATACATTATTCCTCTGAAACCAGCTGTTTTTGTTATGTTGAGGCTTTCTTCTCACTTCCCTGGCCTTCTGCATTCCCAGGAGATTCTGGGGAGCATACATTCAAAATGGTGCCCTCAAAAATCTGAGATGAATTAGGTGGATGGTGCAGAGGTCACTGACTGGTAGGTCTGTAGAAGAGATGCTGTGAAATCTGGAGAGGCAAGGTGGCTACTTCTAGTCTGTCAACAAAACAAGGTCTTGCCCATGCAAAGCCATGGACTCTTCATCAAACTCAAGGGTCATTCCCTGCCAAATCATCAAAAGGTTAAGATTTTGGGGTTACTCACCCTGCTTAAGTGGAACCCAGTTATGTGCATTGTGTAAGCCAGCAATTCAGATCTCACACAGAACGACCTCTATTTTGTGCGCGCTGATCTTGGTCTCCATGTGAGGTTCATGCATGTCTGTAAGTGCAGAGGACCACTCAGCAAAAATTCATGAAAAGCACATGCTCATGCTTATTCTCAGTGGTGGGAGACAGAGACGGGAGGATCCCTGGGTCTTCCTGGGCCAGCCAATCTAACCAATCAGTGAGTTTCATGTTCAGTGAGAGCCTCTCAACAAAAGTAATGTAGAGAGAGATGGAGGCAGACCCTGAAGTCACCTGCTGGTCTCCACGTACACAGATATGCACACACTGGTGTATGCACACAAACATACAACACACAGGAACAAGTGCGTGCTCAGACCCAAGTAGCTAATGATGCCTCCTCCTATCAATGCATTTCTGGCGGATGAATAGTTCTTCTGATTTTATGGCTTAGAATGGAAGCATAGGATACATCAAGCTGAACATACATAACACTCAAACACTTTTAAAAACCTGTGTTTAGTTACTGTGGGGACCCAGAAAGGTTTCCTAGTGAGATCTGAGCTTGCTTTACCCAGCAGGGCTGCATTAGGGGATGGCTTGACCACGTGTGTGGTTACCAGGTGTTTGGAAGGGTCTGCACTTGGCTGAACTTAGGGGAGGCCTTTTGCTCTGCCCCTTGGCATTTCTATAAAAAGCCCTTTTGAAGAGACAGAAGGGGCCGGTGGATATTGATCCAGACCTTCCTAAAGCTATCCTGTGTTTCTGTCTGTCTCTTCTCCATACTATTTTTCTATCTAAAAGCTTCTTATCCCTCTCTCCTCAAGAGTACCCTGGGAAAAAGTGAGAGCTGGCTTCCCACAAGTGGTGCCCTGAATGAGGACTTGGGTTCAGGGCCTCCCACAAGTTACTTGTCTTGTTGCTCTGATAAAATACTTGACACAACCAACTTACGGAAGGAAGTAGACTCGGGGTTGCAGGGACATAGTCCGTTATGATGGGGAAGGGAATGTCTGCAGGAGCAGGAGACAGCTGGCCACATCACATCCACAGTCAGTAAGCAGAGAGATGAGTGCTGCTGTTCAGCTCCTTTCCCCTTTTCATTCAGTCCAGACCCCTCCCGCGGTGTTTGGATGAGAATGGCCCCCATAGGCTCATGTATTTGAATGCTTGGTCTCCAGTTGGTGGAACTGCTTCAGAAGGATTAGGAGGCGTGGCTTTGATGGAGGAGGTGTGTCACTGGGAGTGGGGCTTTGAGGTTTCAAAAGCCCACACCATTTCCAGTTAGTTCTCTCTCTCTCTCTCTCTCTCTCTCTCTCTCTCTCTCTCTCTCTCTCTCTCTCTCT